GTGGCATGACATTCTTTCTGGAGTCCTTAGTCTTTAATCAGTAAGAGGTAGCTGGTTTACTTCATCTTGATGAGTGTGAAAAGAATTCATCTTTATTTCTGAAAGATATTTTAATTGGATATAGGATTTTTGGTTGAATCACCCATGAAAACATCAGAAGCACAGCAGCGACAGGCTGAACCTGGAGAGTCCCTGATTTTGGAGTGGAGGTAGAACAGGGTCATTTGTCCTCTCCTCTGAGAGTGGGCTAGGTTCTTTATGATGGCAGTAATGGTGCTCACAACCATGGTCTAGCAACCAGCCTTGTGCAGAGAATAAAGGTTATAGCTGGAGAAGTTCAAGAGCTGGGCAAGTATCCTGTAAGCTAGTGAAAAAATTACATTTTTAACTTTTTGTGAATGTCCTAATGATAGTTTATCAGGTCAGGAGCACCCCTGCTCAGAGAAGTCTGCCAGGCTACTTCTCAAAAGATACAACCTGAGGCTTCCTGGGATAATTTTCTGAGTGCTCTCAACAAACATATAGCATGCTATGTCCCGATCACACAGCCCTCATGTCTCCAGTGTGTGAAATGTGACTATTTAACTTATGACAAGCTCTTCTGTTTTTGGGTTTGTTTTTTCCAGAAAATCATAGTAAGAAGGATGAAGACAGACAAAGGCTACTGGCTCTCAGGTAACTGAATGATGAAGGCTGATGATGGAATGGTGCCATCTAGAGAGGATTCCAGAAGCAGGGAATTAAGAGGTCAAATGTCTCAAATTCAGGCAAAAACCAGAAACTGCTTATTATACCTGTTTCATTTAATCATTTTACAGTGATGGATCCTTTTCAAACATGGTTGTCTGTCTGACACAATGGCACACGCCTGAAATTCCAGTGACTCTGGAAGTGACATAGGAGGATCGCAAGTTCAAAGCCAGTCTCAGCAACTTACTGAGTCCCTAAGCAACTTAGTGAGACCCTGACTCTAAATGAAAAATAAAAATTACTGGAGATGTAGCTAACTAATTAAGTGCCCCTGGGTTCACTTAGTGAGACCCTGTCTCTAAATGAAAAATAAAAATTACTGGAGATGTAGCTAAATGATTAAGTGCCCCTGGGTTCAATCCCTGGTACAAATTTACAAACAAACAAATATAAATAAAATAAACATGGTTGTCTGTTTTGTTTCTAGCTCTTGAATTGTTTCCCATTTCTGAGTCCCCCAGCCCTCCGAAGATGGCGTGCAGCTGTCTGGGGAATGTGTTGTGCTCAGTTCCTATAGGTCCTTTTTTTTTTTTTTTTTTTAAATTTTTTTAGTTCTAGTTTTGAACACAATATCTTTATTTTATTTATTTATTTATTTATTTTTATGTGGTGCCAGGCATTGAACCCAGTGCCTCATGCATGTGAGGCAAGCACTCTATCAGTGAGTCACAACCCTGGTCCCCCGTAGGTTCCTCCCGCAAGTTTGGGTAACTAGTCAGTCTGACCAAAAGGTAATTTGAGCAGGAATCCCTGGTTTCTGTATTTTAAAAGCCTGTGTCATTAAAAAGCAAAGTGAGGGACTGAGAATGTAGCTCCATGGTAGAGCACTTACCTCCCACGTGCAAGGCCCTGTGTTTGAACCCAACATCAGCACCAGCAATAACAACAACAAAACTAAGACAGAATGAGACACCTTCCTGCTTTCTGCACAGAGTCAGAAAGTATGTTGGCAGATGTTTCACAGGCATAAAATTACCTTAAAAAATAAATCTGAACCATTCAAGAGAGAGGTCTAAAAGCCACAAGAGTCCTGGGATTGTTATTGTCTCAGGATTCAATATTCAATGAACCACTTCATATAATATGAAGTAAAACTCGTATACAGCCTTGTGAATCCAATATCATAAATCTCACTGTGGCTTAAGTGTCATTAGCATAATTGTCTATTCCCTCATCTATTTGTTAAGAGAACCGGATTCTAAGTACACTGTGTCCCAAACACAAATGGATCGTTGCACTTCCTCTTTGATAGGATGGCCTCTTTGGTTTTCAAAGCCTCTTCCATGAATTTTGGATCAGGACTAATTATTAAGCTATGGTTCTAGACTGCCTTGATTCAATCTCTTGTCCCATGTACCCCACCAGGTTCAGCAGGGAGGTCCCAGAAGAGGAAGCAAATGAAATCCTGGAAGACTCACTAGATGAACAGTACTTGACTCCTTCTAGCCACTGTGACTGTCAGCAGCCTTCTAGCAGCAATGTGATCTTGTCTAATATGCAAGAAGCCACCTCTGCTATGGGCATAGCCAGTGAGTATTCCTCTTAAAAAGAAAATAAGAGTCCAACAGACTTTCCATAGCTTTTATATTCCTCATGCTCACCAATGCTACCTAGACTGAGATCAACTCTGCCGTGAGCCCTAAAGATTCTCCTTGAGCTGAGTACACAGCTATGTGCCTATAATCTCAGCTTCTTGGGAGGTGGGCAAGAGGATTTCTTGAGCCCAAGTGTTTAGGGCCCACATAGTAGGATCCTATCTCTTTAAGGAAAAAAAAAATCATCTTGAAAAGGTGATTGGGCTGAACACAAGTGTCAAGTCGGATAATTTGTTTTGTTTGGGGTCCATGCCTCATCCCAGTTACTCTGGGCCCCAATGTCACATGCCCAGGATCTAACAGACCTCCTTCTTTAAGATGGGACAGCTTATCTTTCCTGAAATGTTCTTGGTAAGTTTTTCTAACTATTCAAGAATGTGGGAAATCTTGCCTATATTGCAAAAGTATGGTTCCTCGGCTTCAGTCTGTTTCTTCCCCCTCTTGGGTTCTTTTTTTCCACATAAGTTTCTGTCTGAGGAGCAGAATATCAGGTGATTTCCCTAAAGACAAGACTGATTTTGGCAACCCTTTGGTACATGGCCAAAGTTCCCATCTGTGTGTAGCACCAGGGTTTTTTGTCTGTTTTTTAAAATCTTTGTGGATTTGGTCTAAGTGCTATAAGCTCATCCATCTATGCTGAAGGAAAGGCTGGATTTCACAGCAACGCCCCCAGCATGTCTCCTTCCCGTGACCTCAAGCTCTTCCAGATGAGAGGCCCTGGGCTGCAGCTTCACTGATGTGTGTAGGGATTAAAACCTCAGTCTCCCTCACTTGTTTGGCTTTTCTTTGGGGATAAAAGTCTGGATTGCTAGCAGACTATACGCCTTATATCTTCTTCTAGGCCAGAAAATAGACCATATTGATTCATTCACTGTTAACTGAGTTTTTAATAGTGAAGTAAACAATATCAGGTTTGTCTTTCAACCTCTTTGGGTTAGTAATGGATCTAAGTTTGTGCTTTTGATTACTCAGATATTCCCCTTCAAAGGCATCTTCATGCCAGGTCCCTTCATCATTTGTTAAAGGGATGTGGTAGAGAGAAAAACATTCCCTAGTACTGAAGCAAAAGACTCTGATCATAATTACTCTTCTCTTGTCAGAGAGATTTTTATAAAGAGTGTCTTCGGATTTCACAGGAGTTCTGTAGAAAGCTCTGTGTGGTTTGGAACTTCCTCTTTCTTATAAATACCAGGTTTGCAGACAAAATGTGTGAAACCCCTGTCTCGCCTAAGAATATGGGATAAAGAGTAACAGTATGTTCCCATCCACTCCAGCTGTCATGTAACCACCCCCCGAGTATGAATCTAAAAAAATTTCCAGACTCAGGGTCCAGAGATTTTTAGGCATTATCCCCTCTGGACCACTGCAGCTTAAATAAACCTGCTTCCTGAAATTCCTCGGGTGTCCAGCCTCACTGCCCTACCTTGGGTACCTAGGGTTAGTCACACCAAGGAGGTGGCCACACCTTTCCCGGTGCTAGGTGGCCCTATGGGGAGGCCTTCAGTGTTCTCCCACCTCCTGTCAATCTCCCTGACACTTCTTAAATTCTGTGGAGTCAGCGTAGCACTTGACTAGGCTTTGTTTGAAACCCTACGGGCTCTGGAAGTTGCTTGGTGCACCTGGATGAAAAGGTGAGATTGGCAGAAGAACGGTAGAAGGCCGGACCTTGAGGAGAGACCCTTGCAACCACCTGATGACAAAGACTCTTTTTTTTAAGTTTTCTTAGTTGGTTCTTTTTAGTTACACATGACAGTAGAAATCATTTTGATATAATTGTACCAGCATGAGATATGTCTTGTTCTAGTCAGGGCCCCATTCTTAGGGATGGCGGGATTTACTATATTGTTTTGTACAAGCCCCTAGAAAGATTATTTTGGATTCATTCCATTGTCTTTCCTTTTCCTGTTCCTCTCCCTTCCTTCCTTCCCCTTTGTCTAATCTACTGAATGTCTATTCTTCTCCTCCCCCACCCCCCTTACTGGAGATTTCTCAAAAAACTAGGATTGGAACCACCATTTGACCTAACTATCCCACACCTTGGTTTATATCCAAAAGATTTAAAATCAGCATACTACATGTAGCCACATCAATGTTTACACCAGCTCAATCCACAATAGCTAAGGTGTGGGGCCAACCTAGATGCTATTCAACAGATGAATGGATAAAGAAATTGTGGTATAGATACACAATGGAGTATTACTCAGCCATAAATAATAATGACTTTATGACATTATTTTGCAAATAATTGGAGACTATCATGCTAAGTGAAATGACAAAGAGTCCTTATCTCTTACCTCATTTCATGTCTTGGTGGAATGGCTACAAAAGATGAGATGTGGAAGTTGCAGCAGCACCTGAAGGAAACCCTTTTCATCAATGACTGCCTGCGAGAAAGCCTGGAATATCACCTCAGCATCTCTGACCGTGGAAACGGTAGGAGAGGGACAAGTTGGCAGGGTTCTGGTGACTCGACCTTTCTAAGGACATGTCACAGGGGCACAACTTCACAGATTTTAAGCACTTTGATATACCTTACTTATTTTCCCAAATGGCCTAGGTGGGAAGGAGGTCGGAACTATCATTCCATTTTATAAGTAAATAAGCAGGTTTAGGCAGAGACTTGTCCCAAGTCCAAACTATGCCTCTTAGAGCCTGTGATCTCCCATTCTTGTGACTTCTGTGCCGTGTGCTGTCTGCGGCTGTGTGCTGCATGTTGTGTGTTTGTTCTTATACGCTGGTGATTCAGCAGGACCTAGGTTTCTGAGCTCTTCCTTCATCAGGAGGGAGGTCTCCTCTGCTGCCACTGTCATTCACTTTCCTGATGTCTTGGTCATCATCATCATCCCCAAGAGTGTTCTCCCTACACCCTCCTGTTAGAGTGCCATCCTTCTACAATATTGTATGAGGCCAGAAGGACAGTGACCCAGTCCCTTCCCAGACAGAAGCAGCATTCAATGAGTGGGAGAAGCCTCCTTCATATTGCAGCCAGCCATTGCATGTGATGATGCATGTGAATGTGACTATTCTCACTGAAGATCCTGTGAAAATTAAGCTTCTGCCCCACCCCAGTGAAGCCCCGGCCCTTGAGTCCCATGGTTTTCTTCCTGGGCTGAGATGGAATGGAAGGACATGGAATTTACAGAGAGCTTTCTCTTAAGCAGATGTGTGTGACTTGCCTAAGTGTGACTATTCCCTGAAACAGGGTGCTCCTCCAGCCTCCACAGGCCAACCCTGGGTCCCATTGCCCAGCCGGGTAGTGGAAGCAGTGACCTCCAGGAGGAATATCAGAGCCTCCCTGCTAGCCTGAATTCTATTTCCAGAGGTAAGGGGTCAAGCTCACAGTGTAAGGTCGCTCTTAGAATGATCCTCTCTCTTGCCACACCCAAAAGAGAGAGGGGAGGCCAGAGCTGCCAGAAGCATAACAGTGGGATTCGTCATGCCATTATTTGTGCGTGCACATAACATAGTTTGATCTACCTTCACCTTCCCTTTCCCTCCCCCTTTTCCTGCCCCTGTCTGCTTTCTCTAATTTACTAATCTCTTTTCTATTATTGTTATTACATTATAATTATATAAAAATCAAGGTTCGTTGTGGTAGATTATACGTGGAAATAGCATAATCTGATAGAATTTATTTCCTGGTTCGTCCCCGTTCTCTGCTCTCCTCTCTCCTTCTGGATCCCCTTCCTGTTCTCTATTAGTATCCCTTCTATCTTAATGTCGACTTAATGTCATTAAATAGTGCTGTCATAATAACCTGGTGAGTTTTCAACTAACCCAATGCCCGGACTTTATACCTGGAGAATTTAAGTGGTTTCAGGTGGGTTCAAGGCATTAAGTAGTCTTAAAAACTCCCGCGTGATTATAACATGTGGCTACAGATGTGGACCATAGAGGTACTGGATGTCTCCTAAACATGCAGCTAGCTTCACAGAAAATCCATTGATAGAATTTGCCTTCCTTTCTAGTGGTTTTGTTTTTATAGCATGCAAAAAAAAAATTAAAAAAGAGAGAAAAAGAGGCGGGTGGATTAGACCTATCATCTAGCTACATATAGCAGAGTCTTTTAAATTTTTTTTTTTTTTT